AATGTATTATATATTACGGTACGGAGAAAAAGATTTCCTGTCTGGTTTTATGGGACTAAACCGGTTTTGTTTAAACTTCAATGGTGGCTAGCTGTTAGCTCTCATTTATTTATCTAAATACATAATTGTGCTTTACAACCAAAAAAGCGAACCTCGACCGCACTGCTTTTTGTATTTGTAGTCTGCAACTTGATCTTTTTCAGGCAAATGGCGAGACCCACAGTATTTTTCAAAGCTACTTCCGAACGGTTGGTGGTTATGTATGATGAGCTTTTTTATTTCATATCCAATATACGCTCGGAGGAGTTGACATTCCTGTCAAGAGGCGACTGCTGTTAAAGATTTTCTTTACCTTTAGTCGGGACTAACCCACGGCATCTGCGGCCGACAAAAGTAATGGACTTACTTATGAAAACGTATCACCGTTTGGCTCCTTTAACAATTACCCAAATATACTGTGCTTGTAAGGCAGAGTTGGAGTTAATGAATTATTCTTCATATTTCGAGCCGTTAATATATACATATATATGAGGGAATCAACAAAAGTTCGGTAACTTGACCACAAAAATAAAACTTTTCGTATTTATTTGTAATCTTTGTCCTTTTTTATCTTCTCTACACAATCGCCATTGATTTCAATGCATTTCTTAAGCCTAAAGATCCCCTACTGCAAACAGTCTTCAACATCTTTCTTTTTAAGTATATCAAGCTCAGCATTAACCGCATTAATTGTCTCCTCGTTGCTATTGAAGTCCTTTGCTTTTAATTTTTGTTTAATTTTTAGAAATAACCAGAAATCACAAGGTGTTATATACAGGGAATATTTTGCTGGACATATTTCTTCGATTCCAGAAATCACAATAAAATTACTCGTTATTTCAGAGGTAAGAGAGCGAATTCTCTTTCTTCCTCTTTTTCCAACAATTTTTTTTAACTTTTGGTAAGCACTCTTCGGTGTGCCATTTTGTAGTTACCATCTAACTCTTTTCCAGTGGAATAGCAGCTGGTGAAGTCAACTGACATCATTATTTTAGCTGCTGATTTTTTGTGCTTAGATTCTACGGGTGGGTTTGCTTCTTTTGAGCTTTCGTACTTTAGAAACGAAATTCGTCGCCAGTAATGACTTTACCAAAATTGCTAGTGTGACCATTCTCGAATTTGTTTCGGGAAAATTGAGCAAAATCCGCGTGCTACGCATCGAGCAGATTTCTTCTTGTATCCCAGATGATTACTTAATATTCGCGATACAGCCACGGTATTCACTAGCAAATATTTCATGTGTCAATCGTGGGTGTTTCTTAATTTTGGAATTCACCAGAGATGCAGTGACGTCAACAGTGGAAGATTTTGCTCGACTTTTATCGGGGCTCGTCCTCTACGAAAAAATGTCCGATCTGGAATCTTCGGTACCATTTGGAAATAGTCTTTAAAGAACGGCGCAATCGTTCCATATGCAATTTGGCATTCACTGAATATTTGTGTTGGCTGTAAATTACACAGAAAGTCGAAAAGAATTTCTGTTTGCCTTGGTGTTGGAAGTTCGTCCAACCTACGAGTATCCTCAGCTATCTACCGAACTTTTGTTAATCCCCTCGTATATGTATCTTTTATAAGAAAAAATCTCTACTATTGCCAATGGGTATACGAATGTGATCTCAGCCCAAAGATACCGTAATATCATTCAGCACATTCGCGTTAAATCAATAACCTCATTCGCGGGCGAAAAAAGAACAAATTTGTTGTAGTGACTCACACAGCTTTTCTTTTCTTCATTTAATTAAGAAGTCTACGAAAGCATATTTCTTGAGATAAGAAAAGAAATATTTTATTTTTATTGACAAACACAAATGGTTATTTACCAACAGTACATTTAGCTATGTATATATATTTTATATAATATAAATAAAAGAAAATATATATTTACATTTATAGAATTGTATACACGCCGGAAGGTGAGTGTGATTATTCAGCTGTAAAAATTTAGTCATCGAGTTTGCTTGATCTTAGCCGCTATGAAATAATTGAATGAGAAATGGTATTATTCGAGATAACGGTCTATCTGAAATAGAAGCGTATATTAGATACTTCTATTTATAAACAACTTTGTGCTGGCGAAGGTGTTTCTCAACGGTGTGGATGAGGACAGCAGAGTTCAACGAATTCAATGGATATCAAGGTTAAAAGACTTCCTTCTCTATATCAAGCGCAAATAAGGCAGATCGGCCGAACCATCAGTCCAGTTAGCCTTATCAGTTTGCTAAGATCAGCTCTAGAGTTTGCTTACTAAAATAAAAGAAAATATTTAAATGAAAATTTCCTCGAATCAGAGTTTCGCCCAAATTTCATTGAGCTTTTTTTTACTTCTAACCTCAACATGGATTTCCTTTAAAACAGTAAGAATATGAAGTATGAACCAGATTTGATGCGGAGTAGTAATTGCGATCATACTTTGACGATCACAAGGTCATAGTTTAACAAGCTGCTTAATTACGGAGCCCTAATCAAGCACACTTAGACCCGTTGCCCCGGTGTGATACCAGTGTTGGTTCTGCAAAGGAAATTCCTTTCATCTTTCCAAGTGTTCAAACCATTTGTTGTGTTTTATGATATTCAGGAAATGAATGATGACTACCGATGCAAGCTCTGCAAGGTATTGAATCGAAGAAGAAATTTCCGGGAAAACGATAACAAGCCGCACTGAGAGGTGGGCACTGTCACAGGTAGTGTTTCACCGATTCCTCTTCATCTACGTCAATGCAGAAATCGTTTGAGAAGCCGCCCACGAGTGCCTCTCATAAGACATTGTCCGGTTATTAGGCCGTTATGGAGGTCCGGTTTGGAAGAAGTAGAGACTCAGTTTTCTTAACCACGTGCTGCTGTTGACTATGGTGAAGGGTAGTCTTAGCAGATACTTTGCCGAGGAAAACGGTATGCCTACGTTATGCGCAGAGTTTACCGTGGCTAAAACTTTTCTCTTTCTGGCCAGTTCGTTGACTGCTCAGTTCCCTGGGTTGTTCCTATCACAGAGAGTCTGATTAAGATCACTCCGCATTTTATTGCCTCCTTTGAGGTGGTGTGAATGCACTGAAGAGAGTTTACGGCGGAATGGGTGTCTAGTAAAGATGGCTATGGATTTATGATCCAGTCTTGCTGAAGCAGAAGACATTAGTAGTGTAGTCCAATTCTTTTCCTCAATGATTAAGTAAAGGTCTGCCGCGAGAAGATGAAGCAGAATTTCAAGTGATTTCCACCTGTAATGAATGTGGCGGCCTCCGCTGAACCTTTTCCTGCTTGATCCTGTAAGTAGCCCTGTCTAGTCCATAGAATAATGTGGACCATATTACCGCTAAGGTCAACAGTATATCGTAAAAACTTATTTAATCAACGGATCAGATAAGATCAGCACATCACTGCAAAAAACTCATATCCGACAACGCATGAGGATAAAAACGCCGTCCCAATCTAAGAATAAAGATGTCGTGAGTGGACGACTGCAGTAAAAGACAGTTTCTTTACAAATAGACGAAGTACTGCTTTCTATTTTCGATAACAGATCAAACATAATGAGTCTGCGTGGAATAACAGTCCATGTGAGACTACACGCAGTCGTTACGAACACACACTAAAGGTAGCGCAGATCAACTACCAAAGGTAATAGCAAGAGGTAGCGAAGGTAGAAGCGAGAGCTTTCAAAGAATACGTCCGAAGAGGGTCATGTTCAACCAATCAGAAACGAATTCTAATTTCTTTTTTTTTTTTTGCTAATAATCCCGATATCCGGAACACTCTTCGGATCAAACATGACTGATGGAATGGGCACGGGAATATTTTTTATACTAAGCGGAGATCTTCGCGCTCAAACACGCTCACTTTTTGCTCACGAGAAACGATAGTATTGCAATTAGTACCAGTACCATAAGTAGAAAGTTTAAGGAGGCAGATCATGTGGAGACGTTAGAACAGCTCCTCTGTTGCCTTCCGTTCTCCCTGCTCAGAGTACTAACGTAAGCTTCTAAACTGCATGTCCAGGCCTACTCAAATCTCGCAAAGGGGTTGACATAGTCGAGTCTTGTTGTTACAGGAGGAACATAAAGACACTTCAATGTGCAGGGATTTGGAGATGAGGTGCTATTATTTTGAAACAATATGGCTAATTTGGGTTGAGATGCCCAGTTTCGCATCGAGTGAAGGGAAATGATGAAACTTTCGGGTATATGTTGAATGACATCTTCAGCGTTCAAAAATAGATGCTTACGGAGCCATAAAATTATAGTTGGTTAAGTTCCACTTAAAAAGCTCTGGAATCATTCGAATTTTAAATTACTTAGTAATTATTGCGGTTATAAGCATAGAAAAGAAACTTTAGGATACAGGAACTGATACATTGAAGAATGAAGTGCAAAGCAAGAGACCCAAAGCGCTGCCTTTAGGTATGTCCTGTTGCTTCCAAAGGTCGTTTGAGACTTTATCAAAAGCAACAAAGCAGCGCTTACGGGATATATAAGATATTAATAACAGAAGGAAGGGAAACCCCAAGCTAGATAATTCGGAAACTAGACTCTATCGGAAGCTTTTGAAAAGTCTGTTTAAATTGTATCAACTACCCTTTTTGACCGATAAAATGTGAGAATTATAATTCTCAGGGTCTGGCATGAACACGATTTAAATATGGGCAACGACTTCTGTAGCGCTTATGTGGCAAGTAAGCTTAGTCTTTGTCTGCCACATGCCGGACCCAGATTACATTTGTCATTATTAGTTTGATACATAGTTTTAACGACTTTTCAGACCTTTGGGGCGAACTAGAGTTCTAACAAAAATGACTGACATACATATACATATGTGTGGGTTCAGAGATAGAGCTACCTACCATTATAAAAGGTCTTCTACTTTTGATCCATCTGTGGGCTTAATATAAAAATCCACCAAGTGTCTAATGTATAATTCCATCCACACTTAGTCTTCACTACTCGTTTTTCCTTCAATAATTCATTAACAGATTTTTATTCTAATTTCTAATACCATTTATTTACATCATACACTTCAGATTTTGCACAGAGATTAGTATATTGCGAATTTTTACCCGACTTACAGCCCGAGGCCGGCGTGGCACAGGACTGGTACATTGGGAAATTTATCATATTCGTGGTTGCGTAATTACAGGCGAACAGGTAGCCCTTGTACGGTTGACCCGACACATCGAAAGTGGAAGCAGCGCAGCCAACGCGAATATTCTTGTCGGCAACCATAACGGTGAAATGGCCAATGGTACTAAAGATTAAATGAATTTATTAAAAAAAATATTTAAAAAAAAAAAATCAGTTGAAGTAATATCAAAAAACCAAAGAGAGTCACCAAGACTACTTACGGGCCACTATAATTGTTGGGATATTTATTTATATAAGCCATTTTGGTGTCCTTTATCTCATTATACCACATATCGACAGATTTCTGCGATAATGTCGGCACATCCGGTGAATTATAGAAACTGATCCATGCCAAATTCTGGCCAGAATACTTGAAGGCGTCCGTATTGTGACAGGCATCATGTTTCATCTCGCATTGTTTGACATTCAACGCAGCGAGTGTGGCCAACTCCTCATCCCACTGCATGGTGGCCATGCGACAGGCCGCTTTCAATGCCGTCTTACCGCCAGCTACCAAATCACGCTTGGCATTGTGCGCGTTGACTATTTGATTTTTTTGCGCTTGGGTAAAAGTGATGGCAGTGGGATTTTTACAGGACGAGGCGAATTTCTGTGGGTGTAAGAGAAAGAAGAATTTTTGTTTATTTAGAAAAATAATAATTTTAATTTTCTTTTTTTTTTCTTTTTTCAAAATGCTGCTCTCTCACCCCATTGTTATTGCAGGCGATGTGTTGGCTTGAACCGCACAGGGATTTATCACAGTAATTCGTGGCACAAACAATTTGCAGCAGAGCCACGTATAGGACGATTGTAACGGTGTTTGATGCCATCGGAAATGTTTAGTTAGCAGTTATTTATTATTATTGTAATTTATAATATTCGTATTAATGAAGTTCTCAAGTATTTCACTTAAGTCAATACGTGTCGCGGCCGTGTTCGGTGTTAGACTGTGCGGTTCTGTTTAAACAATGCTTGCTTTTATTGGGCTTTTTAGGAAAATGCGAAGAGTATTTTTAATTTATTCAAATGAAAGTAATTAAAAATATATACCGTTTACCCACGTACGAGTACAAAAATGCATATTTGCTTTTTATGCGAGCGCTGCTTTTATTCTCGATTTTCGATTGACATCATAGGCCATATACATATGTATCTAGATAAGCTATTAGATCTATATATTAAATATATTTAAAAAATAATATTGAACATACCGATATGTAAAAAAGAAAGCAATTATTCCATTAATAGAACGTAGTATGTACGAGGTGTGGTCAAAATATAACGGGCATTCTGAATTTTCCAACATTTTTTATGTATACCAGAAGAGCCAGAGATTGACCATCAGAATGGCGAGCTGAGCTGATTTAGCCATGCCCGTCTGTCGGTTGTCCACCTGTCGTACTTCAGCTTTGAGATATTTCAACCAAACTTGATTCACAGATACACTTTCACATTTTAACGAACATTGGTCCGAACCGATCGGGTCATTATAACATATGTACGACCGAAGTTTAGACCGACCGACCCACCGCCCATGAAGACGTTAACATATCGCACGATCTGTCGACCCCAGTATAATCGATGAGAACGTGAAAAGGTTACGAACAATCGCCAAAGAACAATAGAAAAAGCTGCTGATGAAGTTTGCAAATCTATTGAACTTTAGCTTGAGTATATTTTCCAAAGTTTCGAATATTTCTTGTTCAGACATTGCCCCGCATGACTTCTCCTATTTCCAAAAATCAAAGGAACCTGTAAAACAGTAAATGGCATTTTTGTCTGTCTAACGCATCGCTGAAGGAGCTATGGGCTATCTCAAAGATATCTATAGCAAGGTAACCAAATCCCAAATGGTATTATTATTATTCGTACTATCAATATGGTCCTCGACCATGTCACAGCCTCGATACCTTTCATGAAAATACCAAATTCTCTCATATCTGAAACATCGATTGTTGGCGGCTTTCAAGCTTTTAGACAGTTTTTTTTGGCAGCTGTTCAACCCAAATCCTCATATCTGAACCACTCGGTTGTATGGAAGCCGTATGTTATAGTGGTTCGATCTTATCGCTTCCGAAAAATTGCACATCTGCGTATCAAGTTTGGTTGAAACATTGCAAAAATTGATGGACTAGTTTACATTCAAAGAGTCAGTTGGACGGTTGTGGCTAACTGTGGCAACTCAACTCGTTATTCTGATCCGCTCGGCATCGGCATCTTCTCGTATTGATACTTACATACTTCGGAACAATATTAATATATCATTCCATGCCCAAGATACGGCAATCTTGAATGATATTTACAGCTTAGTACATATTTTTTTTTGAATGAAAATTAAAATTCTCTTTTATTGAACACACCTCGTATTATATTTTTGTGAAAATATTTAACCTTTCAACACACTTGTTTATGTTGCTTAATTGTTCTATTTTTTGTTTTGAAATTAGTTTGTTTTGTTTTGCCTTTGACGTTGCTTCTATGCAAATTTGAAATTTTTATTTTTTATTGTTTTGTTTATTTTGCAAAAATGGGAACATTTTTTGTTAAATATTTACTAATTGTACAGTTGTCGTAAATTTTTTAGGAGGGCTTCTGAGGACTTATCAAATTTGTTAAAGACTCTCATCAGTTTAAAATTGGCAAGGGAGCGCTGTCTTATGATGGAAGAAAGAAGTCATTACAGAAGTTTTGGTTGTGTTGGGTTAGGTTACACTGGTCGGCTGATGCGCCATCCAGATGGAGAACTGCGCACTAAAGTAGTCATATAGGATGTGAATGCCTTTCCCACGGTTCAAGAGAGTCTTAATATCAAATTTTGAAGCTTCCTCTATGCTGCTGAGTTCCGAGATATTCAAAGCGAGTTTTCCTTAAAACCAGAGAGAAACAGAGCACGTGTTCTAATGTCTCACTCATGCCTTCCTCCCTGCATTTCCAACATATGTACTGCTACTTATGCCATTCTGTTCGCTTGGGATGCCTGTAGGTTGTGACTCGTGTTCTGCAGTTCTTACGTGAACGTCTAAGCGTCAGAGGCACTTACTTAGCTGTCCTTGCACTTTATCTTGCGGGCTTTCCATATCGCTAACGGGTTCCAACTTACTCTGATTCGACATCCTGCTCTCTGGGTAATTTAATTAAATTATAGTTTTTAGCAACTTTTATGCTCCGTATTCCTGTCTTCTGCTTTCCTGCTTTCAAGGACATTTTCTTTCCGGAATTTATCATTTAAACTGCCCGCGCTGAATATTTTTCAGCTGTTTTTTTTGTTGAGTTGTTAGCACTGTCCTTAATTACTAAACTAAAAATTAGCATGGTCGGTCAACCAGTTTGTTTTCAGCAGCTGTTGATATCAGCGAATTTTCTTTTACCCCCAATCGAGTCGAAACAAGTTCCACGGAGTGATAACTTGAGTTTTGGAAACAAAATAAATCGATTCGATCGTTGATCGATGGTATTGAACGAGTTTTTGGTCTTGAAATCGTTCACAACTACAGCTCGGTTGTTGGCCCACAATTTTGGCCGAATTCATGATGAACCAAACCGCGAATATCGCAAAAAAAAAACATTTACGGAAACTTTCTGGTCTTAATTTGAATTAATAATATACTCCATCTTCTAATCCATCATGGATATTATATGTACGTGTCCCGGGCGGGTCGCCAGCTTGAAGCCTTCATTTCTAGATCCATACTTTATCAATATATGGTCTTTGGAGATGTGCCCCTGCATGTCGAGAGCGTCGTAGAGCAATATCGACTAGGCCCCTTAAGGTTGAGTGTACAGTGTGGGAGGCACCACATGAAAAATCTTCTTAAAGAAAAAAAATATGCTATAATCAAATAATCTGTATCTACGCATATGAAGAAGAAGAAGAGAGCGCTCGCCACAATACCTAACCTTTCTGCTGAAATGGTAAGCAGGAATATCCGAATTCACACTACAAAAGGAGTAAAGAGAATTTTTTATTTCTAAATGCGTTGTCCCCTCGACAGTGAGTCTTAATTCCTTCGAGAGTTTATGTAGAGTCGATTTGAGTTGATGCAGCTGCTATAACCAGCACACTTAGGTCAATAGGCCCATCGTTAAACCGCTGAGGCTCCTGCCTTCAACTTCTCAGTGGCCTCCTCCTACTATTCTTTGTCCCTGCAGCTGCGGTAGAAATGATTCGAATGATATCCCATTCTTTTCCACGTGAAGCCCCATTAAAAGTTTCGGCCATAGCTGTTTGGCCACGTCACACGTGATCTCGTTCAACCATCTTGAGCCAGCTCCTCTGAAAAAAGCCAGTTTAAGCATATACAATAGTTTGCTGACAGACAGAGGTAAACCAGCATAGTGTGCATGTTTTGTCGTGGGTAGAAAGGTTCCTCCACTGGCTAGTTCGCGCCACTCAGTTGTTTATGTTAAACATTTAAATTTCCTTTTGTTGCAAAAACTTCGAGCTTTACACCACAAGCTTGAAGAGAAGCATAGAATGTGGTCTCCCAGTTTTATGGATTATAACATGCACACATAGATTCCAATTGGATGGCATGCTATCATCCCGAATGTCTATATGTCTATACTTTAAGAAGCTTAGCTCGGTAACTCTCGGTCTCTCGCCTCAGGTTTGAATATAACCCATAGTCGAGTCTCGGATCTTCCATTTAACTTTATCGATTCAAGATTTTGGTTAACAATTTGAAAATTTTTTATATTTCCTGCAAGAAGAAGAATTGTGCCTCTATAATTTCAAAATTTGCAGTGTAAAGGTTTTTTTAAGGTATAAGCTTTGGAAACTTTCCAATAAGAGCTTCTAATAGTGAAGTCATATCCATGGTAAGTACATATCCATAACCCTATTCTGAGGAAGATTTATATTTTCCAAGAACAACGATCGCTTTAGGTTATTCGGTACTCCAATTTCTCTTCAAACCTCATGATCTCGGAAATTCTCTAATGCATGACAAAAATGAGTGAGTTCTACGCAGACTTTCTTATGTATTATATGTTAGTCGGGTTGAACTGATTGATATAGTGGGTTTCGCTTGGATGATATTACGTCTATAGTGTTGCCAAATACAATGCACACGACCAAGCTGCACTGCTACACGGTTTTATTGTGTTTTTAGTTTGAAGAACACAGCTGCTGACTGAAGCGGTTATTTACATCCTTTTTCCAACACAGCTTGAAGGTCCTCCAGCCTATCTGCACCTACATTTCCTCTACTTGTTGTCCTCTTTTTACCATTAGTAAAAACTTAGCTTCTAGCTTCTTTCCACAGTGCGTCCACAACCAACTTCGTGCTGTATGAAATTATGGTTTTAATGGCCGCTGACTGTACACATATTATTCTCTTCCACAAAATATTGCCTGCACCTTATAGGAGCTCTGCCGCTACGATGGTTGGGCGGCTTAAATTATTTCCTAATCTTTACGCAGTAAACTGAAGATCTCACTAATTTTTTGATTTTAGATCCAGATGTAAAAACATGAAGTACTCGATTACATATTTCAGGTTTTTGCTCTCGCCATTCGCTCCTATTTTAACCGACAACAATTTCCCGAAAGTGAAGCGTGAGATTACGTAGTCTATTCGTATACAGGAGGGTCATAGCACTACATACACCGTAAATTAAAGTAAAGTGTGTTTTTTAGACGTGTGGTTTTCTATGAGAGAACACTTTTTTCGGAGTTGGTGTTCTTTACCGCTGTTACTTGACCATTACTATTTCATAATGAACAGACTTACTCCGGAACAATGATAGCAAATTGTGCAAATTGGATCGCGGTAGCCGAGAGGTTTGAGTCCCGGTCCCACCAACATCCAAAAACTAATACAAAGTTAATTTATTGGATGAGTGCATAATTTCGTACCCGATTCCGCTGGATGCCGTTCGAATCGTTTGAAAGTGTCGCTCGTGAAAGAAATATATGCATATTATATATCGTTGGAAAGGTGACAGTCCGAACTGTAAATCAAGCATAAAATAACTTCATTTTGATTTGAGTTGCTTAGTGAAAAGACGCATGGAAGATGGACAACAAAAAAGATCATATGCGTNAAAAATTTAAAAACGTGGAAGACGTCAAAAACCACCTTGACACCTTTTTCAACGAGAAACCACGCGATTTCTATGAATCAGGCATCCGTAAATTGGTTGAACGTTGGGAGTGGATTGCCGAACATGATGGCGAATACATAATTGATTAATAAAAGCGCTTTCTTCAAAAAATTTCAATTTAAGTTTGCACTTGAAATCGGGCACGAACTTATGCACTCATCCAATAAATAAAAAATTAAGCTGCATTTTCTAATTGCGCCCGCCCCTCGGCAAGGAGCGTCAACCCCTTTGAGTGTATTTATGACATGAAATAATGATTCTTCATAAAAAATCGTCAGCTCTTCTCGTCAACGAGCTTAATCTTCGACTCCGAAGTGCTTATTGAATTTTCGTAGTATGTGATCGGGTAAAAATAACAACGATACCAACGTTAAAAATCTACTTTCTCAAATGAATGTGGTTCCTCGAGTCTTTGACCTGAGTCTATAATCGAAACAACAATTTTTTGGTACTTCGGTTTTTTGTTTAACAAATAAAGTATACTAAAAAGTTGATATCAATATAAAGATGAGCCGTAAGCTCTGGCAGCTAGTGCTTCCTTCTTTGTAAAATAAAAATTGAATTATTATTATATTATTAGTTTTCATTAATAATAAATAGATAAATAAATTTTGAATTTTTTTGTTTTTATTTTTCTTCAAAATATTCATTTTTAAAAGGGCATTAGTAAATTTCAGACGTCGAACAAAGGTTTGTGAATGCAGGATTTTTACCCTTCCGACAACCCGAAGCAGCAGTCGCACACGAGTTATAGATGGGTGAACCGATTAAATTCGTTCTTGCGTAATTACAGGCCAAAAGTAAGGCTCTATACGGCTTACCTGCAACAGCGTAAGTGGAAATGCCGCAACCCACACGATAGTTTCCTTCGGCTACCATAACAGTGAAGTGACCAATGGGACTAAATAAAATACTTTGGAGTATTTTCACATTTTTACATTTTCATCACCACAAATACTCACCGTCCCCTATAATTACTCGGATATTTATTTATTTGCGCCATTGTTGTGTCCTTAATTTCATTATACCACAAATTAATTAAGTTTTGAATCATTTTCGACACATCCGGTGCGCCATAGTAACTCATCCATGCTAAGTTTTGGCCAGAATATTTGAAGGTTTTCGTATTGCGACAGGCATCGTGTTTCATTTGACATTGTCTGACATTCAGCGAGGCCAAGTTGGCCAATTCGTTGTCCCACTGCATGGTGGCCATGCGACAGGCTCGCTTCAATTTCGTTCCACCACCAGCTACAGTGTTCCGCTTGGCGTTGTGCGCATTGACGATCAAGTTTTTCTGCGCCTGTGTCAGTGTGACCATGGCGGCATTTCGACAAGTTGAGGCAAATTTCTGCACGAGCGATGTTATTGTATTTTATTTTTTCATTTGAGTGTTTATGAAAATATTCCTCTCACCCCGTTATTATTGCAAGCGATATGTTTACTGGAACCGCACAAGGATCTATCGCAGTAGTTGGTGGCACATTGCACTTGAGGCAGGGCCAGAAAAGTAACGAAAATCATAAACTTTAAAACCATTGCAAGACTTTGTATTAAAATATGTGTATGTATGATTAATCTTCCGATACACCGCTCTCAGTAGTTAGTGTTGAACTGTGTTGAACGTTTCAAGGTTGCGGTGGCTTTTATCGAGCTTAAAATTTGGCTGTCTGTAGGCGAATACATTCAGACGAAGTACTTACAAATATTTAGTCATACAGCTGTGCGAGCTCTTCAATATTATAATTAAATTTTACTATTTATAAGACCCTCTAGGGAAACGGAAACAAAAAGAAATCATAAATCCATTAAATATGGCAACTCAAAAAACAGATATCCGGCTTTTACTATTCTCTAGGAAGAAAATTTAATTTATTGCTTCATATACATAGCTATTTCTTAGGGAAAAAGGTATTAAGCAGTCTTAATCACTGATCTTAGGCACGTGAAACCGTTAAGAAAATATTTTCTGGAATATCGAAAAAACCGAATTTATTTTGAAGTCTTTTGATTTATATGAAATTTGGTGCAGAGTTACCTTTATACCTAAACTAACAAGATTATCTTTCAAAGCCGGAACGCTTTCATTTATTCGGACTTCATGACTCAACCAGCATAGCCGGCGTCTCTTCATTCGCCGACCATAAATGGTTCGCCTAGCATTTCTTCGAAGACTTACAGACTTCCGACTCATCGGATCCAGGTTTCTTAACCATATATTATCGTTGATGATGATTAGTGACTTGTAAAGCTTGGTTTTTGTTCACCGGTAGAGGACTTTAACTTTTAATTACCTACTCAGTCCGAAATATCAGCTTTTGGCAAGTGTCATTCTGCGTTGGATTTACAGCCAAAATTCTGACTGTCAGTTGTGCCGAATGTTATTATTTCATGAAAAATTTCGTCTTGACCTCCTTCTCTGTCAAGCTTGGAGAAGACAGAACTAACGTCGAGGTTTTTACGGCTTACGGCAAACAACGACATACGCCAGCAGTTGTACACCCTATTTAGCTCTGTAGCTCGTATTATTGAAGAAGTCGCATGATGCTGAGTTACCCTGCCTGAAGCCTCGTTTGATATCAATGTTTCGGAGAGATCCTTCCCAATTTTAATTGCTCTTCCACTGTAAGGAGTACCTAATGCAGACATGGCGCCGTATAGGCAGCTCCCTACTTGCTGTCGAAGGCAGCTTTTTAAAAGCGATGGAAAGGTGATGTGTATAGCTTCTTTTCTCATGGGTCTTATATGAAATTTTACACATAGTGAACACTGATAAGAACCAATTAGACTGTTAATGGTGAACTCCAGTCTTTATTTAGTAAGATAAGCCGTGGGGGCCAACTCGTCATAGTAGGTTAATGGAACGACTTATCAATCGATTGGGGTTTCGCCAATTCCAGATGTTGCACTTTCACTGTTATAGTGGTCCGATCTGGCTTACCTGAGATTCTAAAGTTTAGAAAACCGCCCACGATATAGAGCACAAAATTTTGTTGTATTTAATTCGAAGCACATACATATGCAACCCTATAGAAAGAGAGCCTTAAGCCCAAGACGGGGTCGTTTTTCGGCATCGGTGAAAGATTCGTGAGCTCCGACGGTAGAGACAAAGGCTAAGTATCGGGATTGCCGGTAGTTCTAATGAAAGTAGGCACAATATCCCGTCGCATGCCACTGAGATCTTTTTACATAAAAGTATTTAACAGAAGTTGTTCCCAGCTAAGTGGCATTCTAAGGAGGAGCGATGAGACTTAGTTGCGAGGATAGATATACTTGTTTTTTAAGAGCTTTCATAGGACACTCGGTTCTAACATATGAAATATGTGTATGCGTGTATGTAGGTCACATTAAGAAGTTTGACCAAAATGATCTCGGAAATTACAGGACATTATATTGCACACAGAAAACTGGCCATTCCTTTCAATCAATTTTCGGAATCTCGAAACCAGTTTTCTAAAAAGAGCCATACAACCAGATATTTGACTTCAAGACTTCCTCAATATAAATTTTGTACTCGTATGCCAATAAAGATACCCGTTTAGATCTCTACCGCACTCATCATATGGTATAATTCCCAAGGAGTTCAGATGGCGGCCGAGTATTTAAGGTACCTCTAGCAAGTGTCGCATAACTCCACAAGTTGAGAAGAGATACTCATACCGTAAAGAGATTCGTAACAGGCATGAGTACAGTCAGCTGCCGGACTTTTACCGGTGCTGGACGAAAATCTAACCCGAGACAATATAATCTAATTCCAACCACGATTTATAGCGACCACGCATACCAGAAAGAGTTTTCTCTGCGAAATTTACGGCAATCCGTTTTCATGAGAATAATTCAGAAATGCAAGAAAATATAATATATCAAGTACAGAAATGCTCTAGATCTAACAGTTTTAGAAGCCGTTATAACACAACCACACTAACAGATTATTTAAAAAAAAAGCCTCTGGGTGCAAAGTGACGGATTTCATACAGCAGTCATAACCCACCAACTACTCTGATTCCATAATAAATTTACTGCCGAACTGATCTGGGGCAGTGGAAGCCCATGACTTCATATCATCAATTTTTAATAAAATCATTGACATCATATTCCTCACTTGTTGAGCAAAGGTTCGGGTAATCAGGGTTTCTACCAGTATCACATTCCGAGCCGCCTTCCGTACAGGATTTGTAAATTGGATAACCGATGACATTCGTTGCTGCGTAATTACAAGTGAACAGTAAGTCATTATAATTCTTATCGGGCTCACTGTAGGTCGCAGCGGCACAGCCCAAGCATGGTGGCCATACGGCAGGCCGGGTTCAAGAAGGACTTGCCACCCGCGACTTTATCACGATTCTTATTGTGCGTCTGAGTTATTATATCCTTTTGTTCCTGTGTAAGCTCTAGATCTTGTGGATCAACACAATTCGAAGCGAATTTCTGTAAAATAAATACAAATCTTGTATTTCTTGTATCAAGACTGTGCCCTAATTTTTCTCACACTTTACCCCATCGTTATTGCAAGCAATATGTTTTCCTTTACGGCATAAGGATGGGTCACAGTAGTCAGTTGTTAGTGCTGTAGCGAAAGACGCCAACAGAAAAGCAAAAGAGCCGAGCGCCGATTGCATTTGAACTGGTGATATACTTAACTGGGAATACGACGAGGAACATGTCACTCTTAATACCTTGCTTTCGAAAATTTCTTTAATTTTTTAGTGCCTTTACACCAAAAAAAAAATAACATAATTTTTATATATTTTAATTAGGGTGTGCCGGTTAGGAAACACTGATTTTTTCTATGAATAAAAATTACGAATAATATAATATGTAAAAATAGAAGTTAGATGAGGCGAACATCACTCTTCTCCAACAAAATATGAAGTTCGAGTTTCTTACACATTCGTTACTTTACAGCAACAACAACTCAGATACGAAGATATATTGAAGTTCCAAAGTACTCTGGCTGGATTTGGCCACTTTAGTACTTACTATTCCTTTTTTTTATAAAATTAAATATGTTCAAATATAAACCATTTTGGCAAACAAATAGAAAGGCAATTAAGAATGTTGACAGCAATTTGCCTTTGATAGCAGCTCACCCTCATGCATTGCTATTAAAGACATGAAGCTATAGCACGAATTCATGATGAATTTGATTGGGTATTTTCTAAACCATGAAACGGAACTTTATTTGACAATATACAATGTATAACAAAGTTAAAATTGCAAACAACGTCACTTGACGTAGATTAATTAATTTAGCAAATTGTTATTAAATTTCTTAACAACACGTGAGAAATGCTTGCTGATTTGATAAAAAAAAAATAACAATAAACACACAAGTAGAGAAAATAAAAAGCATAATAAAACAAAATCTAAAACACAAATAAAATAAGATAAAAGAAATAAAATAAAACATAGCTAATTACAATTAAATAACATAAAATATAAAATAGTAAAAATAAATAAAATAAAGTGAAGTAAATTGAAAAAAAAATAAATAGAATTAAAATAAAACGAATTAAACATAAATTTGAATTAAATAAAATAAAAAAAGATTTTAAACTAAACAAAAATTAAATTAAATTAAAAAGAATTAAAATAAATATAATAAAATAAAAAATCATAATGAAAAAAAATTAAAAAGAAATATATAACAAAAAAAAAATAAAATAAAAATAAAATAAAATGAAATAAAATAAAATAAAATAAAGTAAAATAAAATAAAATAAAATAAAATAAAATAAAATAAAATAAAATAAAATAAAATAAAATAAAATAAAATAAAATATAATAAAATAAAATAAAAATAATAAAAAAAAACAATATAAACTAAAATAAAATAAAATAAAATAAAATAGAATAAAATAAAATAAAATGAATAAATGGATTGGGAAGAGCACACTTAGGTTCCAATCGTGGGGCATACCTTCGTTTTCTAAAAAAGCTGGTACATGAACTTTGTCACACCTTGTCACAGTCGAGTATGAGTCGTCTTTTGGAGTTTTACAATCTCCAGGAGTTGCACTTTCACTGCCATACAGCAGGCCTCATAAGTGTTTCCGCCTACGTGACTATGCTCCTGATTTTGAGTCGTCGCATAATTTCATAAAATTTCCCAAGCTCTTCACACTCATATATTTCGGCCTCTTCCTTTTTTGTCATTTGTTTTTATTTGATATTCTGGCTTTTTCCCAAACCAATTATTTCCGTAGCGGCGATTAGTTTTGAGTGTCAGAAGCTGCTCATAGATTCTTTAAGAATTTTTCGATTTCTGCCTACTGAGGGAGGCTCTGTACATCGGTTCACTTGCCGCCCCAAACAGGCCTTTGTTGAAGTGTTTTTATGGTTACTTGAGGGTTATCTGAAATCCTATTGTGACGAGGTTTGCTTGTTAAGGTATCCACAGAGGTAAAAATGAGCTTCATTTCAACCCAAGCGATCTTTTGATCATTAAGCGAAGTGAACTCACGCCAATTGGTCATGAGGCTTCAGTGATTAGTCCAATCGAACGTTATAAACCTTAATACCGAAGTCGTCGAGAGTTTCCTCTGAACACTATGGACAAATACGTATACGAGTTATTTTGTCGGATAACGAAACGTTTTGGCGAACTAGTTGCAAAAATCTTTTCACAAACTGCCTGGAAGGCGAGTTATTTCGATCAAATCTCGTCAAACGATCCATGATCAAGAATCCACTAACTTCTAACAATAAAGCAAAATTGGAGATGTCGTAACCATACCATATTATAAGAGTTGATTCAAACAGTCTTTGCAAATCGAACATTTAGATTATTTCGGTGTTAGATCACCAAAAGAGCGATATCCCTTGGTCGGGTTGCCTCCGTTGTGTAGAGCCTATTGTTGTGAGAGATGTGGCCAGGATGCTGAAAATCTCTGTTCTATTCACCAGCTGGACGAAAGAGTATCGGCTCGAATTTGATGTGAAAATCGATGACCCCCCAAGTTACTGGAAGAGGCATTCAACAGCCTGCACTCCCTTACTATGCATACGGCTCCCTTAGCACAGAGCTGCAATAAAAAGTATGTTCTGACGAAAGTTGGAACCTAATAAACTAGTTAGACGACCACGACGACATAGACTTGCTTTGTCTGCTTCTGGAGGGTAACTAAAACAACATTATTTATAAAATAATGCTCCGGTTGCAAAGTGATAGACTTTGAAGAGCAGTCATTGGTCACTAACTACTCCGATTCCAAAATAAGCTCTACTGCCTACTGCCAAACGGATCTGAGAGAGTGGAAGCCCATGAAAACAAAATCCATAGACATTTTTTATATGACTTCACATCATAAATGTTTAATGAAATTTATTGACGTTATATTCCTCACTTGTTGAGCAAAGGTACGGGTAATCAGGGTTTCTACCAGTTTTACATTCCGCGCCGCCTTTCGTGCAGGATTTGTAAACCGGATAATTGACGACGTTTGTTGTTGCATAATTACAAGTGAACAGAAAACCATAATAATTCTCACCGGTCGGGAGGTACGTAGCTGCGGCGCAGCCCAAGCGTATATTCCTATCAACCACCATAACGGTGAAATGGCCAATAACGCTGGTGGGAGTGAAAAGAACGAACAAAAAGCAATATGTAGGTATTGTTGAAAATTTTGGATTTATACCGAGTACTTACGGCCCTTGAAGATTGCGAGGATATTTATCGATATATGTCTGATCAGTGTCCATAATCTCATTGAACCACAAATCGATGGCACGTTCAGCCATATTTGTAATATTGGGATTGCTATAGTAATTCATCCAGCCAATATTCTGTCCGGAATGCTTGAATGCGTCCGTATTGCGACATTCGTCATCTTGAATCTCACATTGCTTCACATTCAATGTCGCCATATAAGCCAATTCGTCGTCCCACTGAATGGTGGCCATACGGCAGGCCGCGTTCAAGAAGGACTTGCCACCAGCTACTTTATTACGTTTTTCATTGTGCAAATTAGTTATGGCATCCTTTTGCTGCTGTGTAAACACTACTTCTTGTGGTTCAACACAGGTCGAAGCGAATTGCTGTAAAAAATATGAAATCGTTGGTTTCAAGACTCTACACCGGGACTCCATCCAAGCCTTACCCCATCGTTATTACAGGCAATGTTTGTTTTATTGGGACATAAGGACGGGTCACAGTAGTCAGTTGTTAATGCTGTGCCGAAAAGCGCGAACAGAAAAGCAAAATATGCGAGGACCGAATGCATTTTTGCTTATGAGATACTAAATTTAACTGAAGAAAATGGCGAGGAAACTTTAGCTTTTAACACCTTGCTTTCGAAAATTTGTTTCATTTTTTAATGTTTTTTAGCTTTGATAAAAACAAACGAAGATAACTTATACATATCTTTATTCGGGTGTACCAGTTTGAAAATGCTGATCATTTTTTCGTCTGCTCACTTTATAGGAACCATAACGCAGACATGGACGAATATTAAAGTTCCTAAGCTCTTTGGCTTGATTTGGCCACGTTATGTTCTAACAATTCCTTTTTCTCTTTTATAAAATTAATATGTTCACACATTAGCCAAAAAAAAATTGAAAGGAGAAATCACATATATGACTCACCCTCATGCGCAGCTATAAAAATGCAATAACGGCACGATTTCATGACGAAGTTATTCTGTTAATAATTGCAAATAGTTTAAACCGAAAATCATTACTTTAAATAATTATGCACAATGTAAAACAAAGTTGAAGTTATAAACACTGTTACTTGGCGCAGATCAATGAGGTTCGCAATTATTATTTAACTTCTAAACAACATGCATGTGAGGAACGATAAATAAATTTAAATAAAAAACAAACAATAAATATACCATTAGATTAATTAAGAAACAATATAAACCAAAATAAATTAAACTAAAATAAATTAATTAAAAAAAAAAATTAAATATAATAAAAAAATAAATAAATATAATAAAGAAAAATGTACTAAAAAGGAAAAAACAGAAAAAATTAAATAAAATGCAGTGAAAAGAAATAAAATGAAATGAAATAAAGTAAAATAAAATAATATAAAATATGATAAATTAAATTAAAATGAAACCAATTAAAAAAATTAAATAGAATAACATAAAATAAAATTAATTTAAATAAAATATACAAAGCAAAATAAAATAAAAAAATATTGTAAATTAAAATAAAATAAAATTAAATAAAATATCTAAAACAAAATAAAATAAAATGAAATAAAATTAAATTAAAAAAAAAAATAAATAAATAAAATAAAATAAAACAAAATAAAATAAAAAAAATAAAATAAAATAAAATAAAATAAAATAAAATAAAATAAAATAAAATAAAATAAAATAAAATAAGATAAAGTAAAACAAATAAAAAAATAAAATAAAAAAATACAATGAAGTGAAGTCAGGTAAAATGAAATAAAATAGAATAAAACCAATTAAATAAAATAAAAAAGTAAAATAAAATAAGATAAAGAAAAATAAAATAAAATAAAACCAATTAGAATAAAATAAAATTAAATTGAATAAATAAAATAAAAACTAAATAAAAAATATAATATAAAGTGAAGTCAAGTAAAATGAATAAAACCAATTAAAATAAAATAAAAAAATAAAACAAGATAAAGTAAAATAAAATGAAAAAAACATAAATTAAAATGAAATAAAATAAAATAAATTAATATAAATCTGATTAAATAAAATAAAACCAATTAAAATAAAATAAAACTGAATTAAATAAAATAAAGTAAATTATTATAAAATAATATAAAACAAAATGAAATAAGGTGAATTAAATAGAATGGCATGAAATAAAATTAAATTTAATACAACTAAATAAAGTAAAATAAAATAAGATAAAGAAAAATAAAATTTAAAAAATTAAATAATATAAAATAAAACCAATTAAAATAAAATAAAAATGGAATAAAATATAATATAATAAAATAACATAAAATAAAATCATAATAAAAGAAACAAACTAAAGAACAATTTCTTATTTTATATTCAATTATATAATATTAACTGAAATAAAAATCCAAAGTTGTACTTTAATATATGTGAACGCTTCAAAATTTTTGTGTCTGTGGCACTGAAACTGTCGAAGAGTACTAAAAATCGAGACATAAACCAAAGATAGTAAATGGCTGTATCGTGGACTGCAACCATATTTGACTTTAAAGTAAGAGAAGAAGAAGCTGTGAATGTACCCGTTGAGAAATAGTGAGTATATTGTGTTGCGGCCAACATTAATCCGATTGTGTCAACAGTAACATTTGATTTTTCGAAAAGTCGATCCGGGACTGTTTCATTCGAAGAAATTAAAATTTATTTTTAAATCGTTCTATTTACATGAATTCGATATATGTATGTATGTATATGTTGTTCTTTGACTCTATTAGCATGAAGAGGTTATTTCAACTCCTGATACATACTTGAAGGCTGTTCAACAGTTGCATGAGGTTCAGACAAAATACCGAAGACGACTTTTTTCTATTATAATTTCACCACAGCTGGCGATTGAAAGGTTTCTTTTTCTTACATGTCGAACCCAGGCCCAATTCCCGGGGGAAGTAAAAAAACAGGCATCTAAGAGAGGTTCAACCTCCACCCATGCACATCAGAAAGGGAGTAAATACTAGATATACAGAACACAATCCAGCAATACGTACAACAACTGCTGGACTGCTTCAAAGACCTCGGAGTTAATTCACCATCCACAGCAGACGAAGAGCGCAACTTAGGTATGAATATTGCAAAAGGTTAAACTCCTACTTACCCAGACTCGACCCCTACTTAACATACACGACATATATCCGCACAACACTAACCACCCCTTTACATGGCCCCCCCTAAAACCGACACATCTATCCCCCTTTCCGACTGGTCCGAAGCCGCCGAAACAGCTCGTTTCCTGGACTTTCCGATAAATGACCTCGCTGACTTAGACTGACTAGACTGTCCCTAAGCGGGGTAGAGCAACTGCTACAACAAAAACGAATCAAGAGACAGTGGTTACGCTGGCTAGGTCATGTGGTCCGAATGAAAGCGAACACTCCCGATTTGAAAGTTTTCGATGCAGTACCCGCTGGAGGAAGCAGATGAAGAGGATGATCTCCACTCCGAAGTTAATACCAGTTGGAAAAGGACCAGACTGTACTAAGTATTTAAAATACGCGCAGAACAGCTAAAAGAATGAATAAAGAAGAAGACAAATTTTCTCAGTAAAACTCAACTTTACTTAATATTAAAGGGGCGAAGTGATCTCCGCCAGCGCCGCATTTTTCAACTTTCACAAGATGCCAATTTGTGTTGTTGCCTTAGATGTCAGCTGCCTGGATGATATGAATTTTTCGTTAATTAGATATAAATGCATACATACGTACATACAACACTTGCTACTTACTCCATAATTAGGCATTATAGTTAACCAACAACCAACAACCAACAACGCTCAGGCATTAAATCGAAAATATTTGCTCTAAAGATTAGACTCGTCAGAGAACGTCGGAAATGAAGGAAAAATCAAATAAATTGGCTGCCAAAAATAAAAGGCATAAATTGATAAGTAAGGTGGGTACAAATCTATGACTTTATGCAATAAATAGAAGAATGAATGTGTGTGTGTGTATACCTTCGCTGAAAAACTTTTAAGCTGGCAACTGCTAGTCATTGCAATAATTGTGCGATCAATTAATTACTCTGTCCAATGAACGCATAGATATTATTTATTTCTATTTTTTTTCTACCGAAATTTTCGGTTGCTCGGTCTGTTGGTCACTCACTGGTCGTTTGCTGGTATTGGGTAATCAAGAATAATTGCCTCGCTGTCATACTGCACAACAATGGAAATAATAATAAAAAAAAAATAATAATAAAAATCGGAATAAAAAATTGAAATACAATAAATCGCTGAATATGGTGGATACCACACAAAACAAGCCCAGAGAATACGTACATATATGTAAATTCATACTTACATATCTTGAAACTTTTGCTGTAGATTCTTTTCACGGTAAGGCTGGCGCTTTCAACGATGTCTTGCTGGAGTCAATGCATATGCACAGAGTTACTTGAATCGGCATGGTTTCGAAAGTAGACCTTAAAGCGTCATAGAGATTCTTGAACCGATTTTTTTTTTTTTCAATAAAAAGTAACGGGATATTTTGTACTTTTCCCTTATAAGATCTACGGTTTGGTTGCTTTAGTGGCAAGTAGCGCCGTCTTGTTGAAAGTAATTTTAGCTCAGATCAATACCATCCACTTTTGGCGAGAAAAAATCAATATTAAATATCGAGAGATCTGATAGCGCAAACCATTAATTTTCGAAAAAAATTGAGGTACAATGACCCCGTCAAACCACAAACCGTACCAAATAGTTACACCTTGAGAATGTTGAGGCTTTTCAATAATAAATTTCGGGCTTTATGAGCTGCAGATGCGACTGCTGGCGTAGCCATCGAGGTAGGCCAACACAAGAAAATTTTTCCATGAAATTTTTACGGTTAATTTAAATAATTTCAATGCGTTGTTTCATATTTATTACTGACGTAGTTTTTACTTGCTAAATGTCAAAAAATTACAGCTTCGAAAGTGACATCTACCGTTATAGCAGAGTATTCAAAATAACATTTCTTATTGGAAAACCCTTTATAAAGTTCTAAACGCATATCTCCCCTCAACAGATGCAGTATTCAACTGCAGTTGGCTGACAGGGATAGCTAGAAGTCATATTTACCGGAAAACTCTCTCGGAAGCCAAGCATTTAGATGAGAGACTAGCCTGCGTCGTTTGCTTTATACTGTAGTAGAGGAGCCATAGGAGAGCGACGGAACACTTGTGACTTAAAGTAATGCCATAGCTAGGCGGAGGGTGCTGGACAAGTCAAAACAAGCTAAGTAGCCAGAACATGTACAGCGTGCTTGCCTTATTAATATTATTGTCGTCTAGCACTGGCAGGTTAAACTGACGCCTATCGACAAATCTGTCTCTAACTTTCACCATCTTCATTTCTACAAGGAGAGGTCGAATGGATTCAAGGGCTTAGAGGGTAGCGTCAGGGAACCTCTTTCACGAATGAATCGAAGATAGGGGGAAGAGACATTTGCAGACAGACGATGGTAGATTGAAATTGAATTGATAAAACAAAAAATTTTTCATGAAAATTCATCAGCCGTTCGGACGGGACCTAGAATAAATTGTAAGTTCCTTCATTTGTTGGAAAATCATAAAGACGCAAACCACAAATTTTTTAGGTGGAGTCTGGCCGAAAACCGCTTCAGCGCTCATAAAGCGCCAGTCATATATTATATTATACAATATTAGGTCCAGTAAAAAGTTCATTCGGTTTTTTTTTTATTGATTTTTCAGAATATGATAACTTTGTGTACATTTGTCTAATTTAAGTCAACAGTATGCATCGTTTTGTTCGTAAACTTGTTGCCAACGAGATGCCAACTTCATTAACCCCCCCTCGTAGAAGGTCTCTCTTGAGGCCAACTTCTCACCATTAAGCGCGTTCGCCATGGACAGAAAAAGAAGGTAATCACTTGGTGCCAGGTAAGTTGGGTGCATTAGGACCACCTATCCGAGCTTCTGAAGCTTCTGGCACGTCACCAAAGACATGTGTGGCCTAGCCTTGTCTTGATGGAACACAATTCGGCCTCTGTTGATCAAAGATAGCCTCTTCTGGATGAGTGCTGCCTTCAACCGATCCATTTATTGGCAGTAGAGGACAGAATTGAGCCTTTGGCCATAGGGGAGAAGGTCGTAGTAGATGAACACACAAAAAAACTTTCCTGGCCGTCAATCCGGTCTTGGCCACCGTCTGGGCCGCTTCCCCGAGCTTTGGTTGCAACCATTTGCGCTCGATGTTATCGTAAGTGACCCATTTTTTAACGCCAGTCACAATCCGCTTCAAAAACGGGTCGATTTTGTTGTGACTCAGCAGCGATTCGCAGTTGGAAATTCGGTCCATCATGTTTTTTGCGTTAGTTCGTCTGGCACCCAAGCATCGAGCTTCTTTTTGAATCCAAGGTTAAGCAAATAGTTGCTCAGCAATTAAAAGAGCGCTCACGTTACGGTCTGTTTCCACTATTTCCATGATTTTATCGCAATTTTCGACGACAGGCCTCCCGACACGTGGTGCATCTTTGACATTGAAATTACCGGAACGGAACCTAACAAACCACTTTTGTGCTACACCTTCGTTTACAGTATCGGACCCATAAGCTAAATTAATTTTTTCAGCCGCTTTAGCTGCTTTTTCGCCTTGAACGAAGAAAAATTTTAAAATTTAGCGAATTTCTCTTTGCTGGTGTCCATCTTTGACGAGCGCTCACAACGTACTATGTAAATTGATCGAAAAACTGTCAAAGACAAACTTTTAGCGCGAATAAGCACGTTTTCAGCGCCGTATAAGGTGACATGATGCGACACGTGACACTAGTACTATGGGCAATAACGCCATTCCTTAGATAAAAACCGAAGGAACTTTTTACTTGACCTAATATATACATGCTCGGAAATTAATCGACCTGATTTTTGTGTCTTCATATATTTCATGTAACAAGCTATTGTATTTAGCCCCATCAAGTCTAGAGATATCCGGGAGACTCTTCCTGAAAGTAAAGATTTTGAAGATTGAATTTACAGTTCTCTCCACTTGATCGTTGGTTTGGGAGGTATTTATGGTGCGAGATGCTTGTGAAGAACTGCACTGGAACTGGATTAAAAAAACATCCAAAATCTGTTTTGTGATCTTACTCAGAGCGAGCGAAGCTGATGAAAAGTTTTCATAAATTTTTACCCGAAAATAAATATTTCTTTTTCAGTCGTATTCGCAGGCTGCGTGTGCTGAGATATAATTACATTTTTTTATTATTCTTTTTATGGTTATTTATTGGGTTATTTACGATTTTCTTTTTCGTTTATATTTTGGAGGTTTTTCTAATTTTTCTTCGTTTTTTTTGCGCTGTAACGCCATTATGCATGGACAATGCATTTTGCTGACTTCATGTAAACAAATCACTGACGATAATAATAAACCGTTGACAGGCAATAAATTCCATTCACAGCGCACCAACAACAATAAACGCTGCAGCAAGCATGACAAGAAGTAGAAACAAATATTAATGTGAACCAAAAATAAAAATTACAAAAAAAAAAGAAAAAAAAAACGCTAAAGCGCAAACGAATTTCCTTCCTGCCCTAGAAGACAATCTTCCTTTGTACTATTTCCTGCACGAACAATGGCAACTGCGGCGAAAATTTACCAAACAAATTCGAAACAGATCAGTGATCTGCAATTGAATTCATGGCAAGGCGAGCCGCACCAAAGAGAAAAAGAATGAGCGCCACAGAATAGAAATCAAAACACCAATTGCGATGAGACAGCAGTGAGCTCGGCAAGCGGAGGCCGAGTCAAAAACAAAGTGCAGCAGAACGAAGCAATTTTCACAGCTACAATTACGAGCGGCAGCAGCAAATTAGCGTGCGAGTCAATAGCAATTTCACACTCTAGTCGTACGAAAACAAAAAAAAAAAAAAAAAACCATAAGAGAAACAGTTCAGATCGACGCTTTCTCTTGGCAGAAAAAGGGGGAAAATTAACCTTTAAAATGTGGACTAATATGAAACTAGGCTGTGCATGCACGTATACATATATATAAATAAAGAAGTACGAATTAGAACAACAAATTAGATTATGAACCGCAATTGATCTTCGTCTCGGACACTACCGAACTTTCGTATTGACCTTTTCATTGCTGTGTCGTCACACCAAACAATTTGTCGGAATGACTTTGATTTTCCTCTGCGAGGTGACAATTCTTTAATTAGTTTCGCCTCAAGAAAAAAAAGAAAAAGAAACAAGAGTAGGCAAAGTGAGAAGAGGAGAGACCTCATTGCCACAATTTGTTAATGAACCGAACTAATTGGGCGCTGAATGCAAGAACGCACATAGAGGGAAGTGCGGTGTTGTCAACGTCGTCGGCGGCGTCGAATGAATGAGTGAATGCAGTTCAGCTATAGGAAGAATAAAATTCGGAAGCCAATATTGAAATGTAGCAGGTAGTTTTTGAGTTTTTGTTGAAAAAATTCTAGAAATGTTTTTTTAGCATGTCTCTGTGCGTGTGCGCATAGGAAATGCGCAGGAAACATTGGAAACTCCTGGTGAGCGTCTGGAGTACACTTCCTTTGTGGCACTTGCCTCACATGCAGTGGCAGTAATGTTGCAGCAGAGTGTGGGAAACTACAATTCCTCGAATAAAATTAACACAGGGCACACACACACACACGTGCAAACACAGGTGGAAAATTAACAACAACGATAATGTGTAATAGTAAAAAAAAAATAAAAAAATATAAAAAAAGTAAAAATAAATTGAAGAAAAAAAATGATGATGAAAAAAAAACAAATATACAAAGAAACTCGTCTGCAGGAAGAACTGACAAAGCATCTTTTATATCCTTTGATGTCAGTTATGAAACGTGAATGAGCTGCCTGTGTGCATGTATGTATGTGAGTGATACATAAAATGTATTTCTTACTTTATGTCATTCATTCTC